TTTTGGGAGCCTGTACTGACAAGTATGAGTCTTCTGTTTTGGGAGCCTGTACTGACATGTATGAGTCCCTTCTGTTTTGGGAGCCTGTACTGACAAGTATGAGTCTTCTGTTTTGGGAGCCTGTACTGACATGTATGAGTCCCTTCTGTTTTGGGAGCCTGTACTGACATGTATGAGTCTTCTGTTTTGGGAGCCTGTACTGACATGTATGAGTCTTCTGTTTTGGGAGCCTGTACTGACATGTATGAGTCCCTTCTGTTTTGGGAGCCTGTACTGACAAGTATGAGTCTTCTGTTTTGGGAGCCTGTACTGACATGTATGAGTCCCTTCTGTTTTGGGAGCCTGTACTGACAAGTATGAGTCTTCTGTTTTGGGAGCCTGTACTGACATGTATGAGTCCCTTCTGTTTTGGGAGCCTGTACTGACAAGTATGAGTCTTCTGTTTTGGGAGCCTGTACTGACATGTATGAGTCCCTTCTGTTTTGGGAGCCTGTACTGACATGTATGAGTCTTCTGTTTTGGGAGCCTGTACTGACATGTATGAGTCTTCTGTTTTGGGAGCCTGTACTGACATGTATGAGTCCCTTCTGTTTTGGGAGCCTGTACTGACAAGTATGAGTCTTCTGTTTTGGGAGCCTGTACTGACATGTATGAGTCCCTTCTGTTTTGGGAGCCTGTACTGACAAGTATGAGTCTTCTGTTTTGGGAGCCTGTACTGACATGTATGAGTCCCTTCTGTTTTGGGAGCCTGTACTGACAAGTATGAGTCTTCTGTTTTGGGAGCCTGTACTGACATGTATGAGTCCCTTCTGTTTTGGGAGCCTGTACTGACAAGTATGAGTCTTCTGTTTTGGGAGCCTGTACTGACATGTATGAGTCCCTTCTGTTTTGGGAGCCTGTACTGACAAGTATGAGTCTTCTGTTTTGGGAGCCTGTACTGACATGTATGAGTCCCTTCTGTTTTGGGAGCCTGTACTGACAAGTATGAGTCTTCTGTTTTGGGAGCCTGTACTGACATGTATGAGTCCCTTCTGTTTTGGGAGCCTGTACTGACAAGTATGAGTCTTCTGTTTTGGGAGCCTGTACTGACATGTATGAGTCCCTTCTGTTTTGGGAGCCTGTACTGACAAGTATGAGTCTTCTGTTTTGGGAGCCTGTACTGACATGTATGAGTCCCTTCTGTTTTGGGAGCCTGTACTGACAAGTATGAGTCTTCTGTTTTGGGAGCCTGTACTGACATGTATGAGTCCCTTCTGTTTTGGGAGCCTGTACTGACAAGTATGAGTCTTCTGTTTTGGGAGCCTGTACTGACATGTATGAGTCCCTTCTGTTTTGGGAGCCTGTACTGACAAGTATGAGTCTTCTGTTTTGGGAGCCTGTACTGACATGTATGAGTCCCTTCTGTTTTGGGAGCCTGTACTGACAAGTATGAGTCTTCTGTTTTGGGAGCCTGTACTGACATGTATGAGTCCCTTCTGTTTTGGGAGCCTGTACTGACAAGTATGAGTCTTCTGTTTTGGGAGCCTGTACTGACATGTATGAGTCCCTTCTGTTTTGGGAGCCTGTACTGACAAGTATGAGTCTTCTGTTTTGGGAGCCTGTACTGACATGTATGAGTCCCTTCTGTTTTGGGAGCCTGTACTGACAAGTATGAGTCTTCTGTTTTGGGAGCCTGTACTGACATGTATGAGTCCCTTCTGTTTTGGGAGCCTGTACTGACAAGTATGAGTCTTCTGTTTTGGGAGCCTGTACTGACATGTATGAGTCCCTTCTGTTTTGGGAGCCTGTACTGACAAGTATGAGTCTTCTGTTTTGGGAGCCTGTACTGACATGTATGAGTCCCTTCTGTTTTGGGAGCCTGTACTGACAAGTATGAGTCTTCTGTTTTGGGAGCCTGTACTGACATGTATGAGTCCCTTCTGTTTTGGGAGCCTGTACTGACAAGTATGAGTCTTCTGTTTTGGGAGCCTGTACTGACATGTATGAGTCCCTTCTGTTTTGGGAGCCTGTACTGACAAGTATGAGTCTTCTGTTTTGGGAGCCTGTACTGACATGTATGAGTCCCTTCTGTTTTGGGAGCCTGTACTGACAAGTATGAGTCTTCTGTTTGGGGAGCCTGTACTGACATGTATGAGTCTTCTGTTTTGGGAGCCTGTACTGACATGTATGAGTCCCTTCTGTTTTGGGAGCCTGTACTGACAAGTATGAGTCTTCTGTTTTGGGAGCCTGTACTGACATGTATGAGTCCCTTCTGTTTTGGGAGCCTGTACTGACAAGTATGAGTCTTCTGTTTTGGGAGCCTGTACTGACATGTATGAGTCCCTTCTGTTTTGGGAGCCTGTACTGACAAGTATGAGTCTTCTGTTTTGGGAGCCTGTACTGACATGTATGAGTCCCTTCTGTTTTGGGAGCCTGTACTGACATGTATGAGTCTTCTGTTTTGGGAGCCTGTACTGACATGTATGAGTCTTCTGTTTTGGGAGCCTGTACTGACATGTATGAGTCCCTTCTGTTTTGGGAGCCTGTACTGACAAGTATGAGTCTTCTGTTTTGGGAGCCTGTACTGACATGTATGAGTCCCTTCTGTTTTGGGAGCCTGTACTGACAAGTATGAGTCTTCTGTTTTGGGAGCCTGTACTGACATGTATGAGTCCCTTCTGTTTTGGGAGCCTGTACTGACAAGTATGAGTCTTCTGTTTTGGGAGCCTGTACTGACATGTATGAGTCCCTTCTGTTTTGGGAGCCTGTACTGACAAGTATGAGTCTTCTGTTTTGGGAGCCTGTACTGACATGTATGAGTCCCTTCTGTTTTGGGAGCCTGTACTGACAAGTATGAGTCTTCTGTTTTGGGAGCCTGTACTGACATGTATGAGTCCCTTCTGTTTTGGGAGCCTGTACTGACAAGTATGAGTCTTCTGTTTTGGGAGCCTGTACTGACATGTATGAGTCCCTTCTGTTTTGGGAGCCTGTACTGACAAGTATGAGTCTTCTGTTTTGGGAGCCTGTACTGACATGTATGAGTCCCTTCTGTTTTGGGAGCCTGTACTGACAAGTATGAGTCTTCTGTTTTGGGAGCCTGTACTGACATGTATGAGTCCCTTCTGTTTTGGGAGCCTGTACTGACAAGTATGAGTCTTCTGTTTTGGGAGCCTGTACTGACATGTATGAGTCCCTTCTGTTTTGGGAGCCTGTACTGACAAGTATGAGTCTTCTGTTTTGGGAGCCTGTACTGACATGTATGAGTCCCTTCTGTTTTGGGAGCCTGTACTGACAAGTATGAGTCTTCTGTTTTGGGAGCCTGTACTGACATGTATGAGTCCCTTCTGTTTTGGGAGCCTGTACTGACAAGTATGAGTCTTCTGTTTTGGGAGCCTGTACTGACATGTATGAGTCCCTTCTGTTTTGGGAGCCTGTACTGACAAGTATGAGTCTTCTGTTTTGGGAGCCTGTACTGACATGTATGAGTCCCTTCTGTTTTGGGAGCCTGTACTGACAAGTATGAGTCTTCTGTTTTGGGAGCCTGTACTGACATGTATGAGTCCCTTCTGTTTTGGGAGCCTGTACTGACAAGTATGAGTCTTCTGTTTTGGGAGCCTGTACTGACATGTATGAGTCCCTTCTGTTTTGGGAGCCTGTACTGACAAGTATGAGTCTTCTGTTTTGGGAGCCTGTACTGACATGTATGAGTCCCTTCTGTTTTGGGAGCCTGTACTGACATATATGAGTCCCTTCTGTTCGGGAGCCTGTACTAACATATATGAGTCCCTTCTGTTTTGGGAGCCTGTACTGACATATATGAGTCCCTTCTGTTTGGGAGCCTGTACTAACATATATGAGTCCCTTCTGTTTGGGAGCCTGTACTAACATATATGAGTCCCTTCTGTTTTGGGAGCCTGTACTGACAAGTATGAGTCTTCTGTTTTGGGAGCCTGTACTGACATGTAGGAGTCCCTTCTGTTTTGGGAGCCTGTACTGACAAGTATGAATAACTGTTAAATGTATTTATAATCAGTCTTTATTTTAAGGAAGGGGGAATATATTTCAATCATTTAGAAAATAAGTAACTTTGCTTTTAAAAGTTGTTAGTGCTTAAATACAGAGCCATAATAGAGAGTGAGTTTCAATCAGGTATTAAATTAACTATAAAGTAAACTATATAGAAATACCAAGTGTATGTAGAAGTGTAATAAGGGACCACTTTTGTAAAGATAACCTCCCTTGCTGACTCCGAATTCCTACAGTTGTCCTTCTTGATACTAACCAACCATTTACAATTTGAATCCAATTAATATGTGACCCATGTCACTCACAGCATTTCTATATTATTATGTTTAATTTAAATGTTTACTGGTAACTGACATTTATCAATTTAACTGTTACTATTTGATGGATATAACGTACCTGGTACATTTCACCCCTATGTAACTGAAGTAGACTCTACTATGCAATGATCTGGATGAGTCCATTATGGTCTACAGTGGTGAAAGGGTTATGCCTGGATTGTATAGGTATACCCTGTAACTCCTGAAGCCTTACTTTTGGAGTGAAAATTCTCCATTACTGTTTGTATTCTGCATTAAAACACAAATTTGATTGATTTTGTAATAATAAAGTAGCAGCTTCAGATAATATCAATTGTGTCTGATAGTTGTATTTCAGGTAAAACCAGCAAAGCCTTACTATCCTTTGTCCTGTAAATGTACCTATCTATTACTGTCAATGTATATATTTCAGCGGTAGTCTTATTTTAGTGCTTTTCACTCTATGTAAATCTCACCAATTAACGAATGCACCAATCAAACTTCCTGTATATTGTCCTCTATTGAATATTTTGTGCTTGTGTCAATTCATCTACCGGGTATGTGCTTATCTGTTTTTATTTGTCAACACGCTAAAATTTGAGTGCACTGAAATAAGACTTTGTTTACCTTATTTCAACCAGACACTCAACCGTCAAAATGTAAACAACAGAAACAAAACTAGGAAGCGTAGATTGTCTGTGATCATCATTTTATTAACAGCCTGCACACTGAAGACAAAGTGCTCCAGATGCCTACATGTAAAATATTAGCCTGAAATCTTTCACTTCTTTATGTACAGAAATTGTAACTTTGACATTTTAATTCCACTGTATCAGTGTATTTACAGCTATGACATCACAGCATCACATGATTAACTTGTGATATAGGTAAGTTATCACAAGTTTACACTTCCTTATAAGGTAAAGCACAGGAGACACATCCACAAAACCTCAATTGTGTGGCATTATACTATCTTTGGACAGAGAAACTTATATTACCCCATTAATGAAACCACAACATTTTACAAAGTAACAAGTTTTCCGTACACAATATGGAATCACAAATTGCGTGAAATGGACGAAAGCAATAATGTAGTTAAGTACAGATGTGAGGATACACAGTCATACTATCAACCTTGCTAACCACAATGACACATCCCAATATTAATGTAAGGATGAGTCCACTGTAAGTTTGAGGGTGACATGAGGATGACATGATTGCAGACATAAATGATCTCCTGGAGTACAAAAATCTTTGATGAATAGTATGATCAGTTTAGCTTGCACACCTGGGGATGCATATTACACATACCTACACAAAAGTAGGTTTACATACACATAGGAATATAGGGTTTTGTTCAAAATGGAATGTAAAATCTGACTACATGGATAAGTTCAATTTCGATTTTAAAGAAACAAGAGGAAATGTTTCCTGGAATGAGTATGTGATCTGATGCCATTTATAATATTATTATATATATATAACATGTACAAGGTTTTTATAATTCTTATGTACATACTATATAGTCTAAAGCAGTCAACTTCAGGACTGATACAAAAAACACAAGGGTTGAGAAATAAAGTCTTATCAATTTCTCAGTGGATATAGATATAATCCATAAATAGCATTATTTTTATTTAACAAAATTCTGTCTAAATATACAGATTATTTTTAAGAAATAAAAATGTTGTGTCTTGCTGACAGATGGATTAATTCAACTATTCCTTTTTAAATAAACAACAATCTGTCTAATACAGGAAAACAAACATTGTTGAGAGTTAAAATCTAAAAACTTACATATCCATTTGACATTAAAAACAATTCAAATGACATATTTTCTCCTCCATTACGTAACGAGTTCTAAGTAACATGAGTATAGAAAAATAACATTCCTGCCCAATGTTTTAATAATATCAAACACCAATATCGCTGTATGACATACAGGTATAAATAAACAAAATAAATAAAACTTTATTATTGCACATCAAAGAAATAGATCTATTAAAATAAATAATATATAAAACATGTAATTCACGAGTTAAATTAGCATTACTTGAGATTCTTTGGTCCTAGGTACCTTAACAGCTCACAGCTGATACAATTTCAAATCACTTGAAATCTAGAAAGATTATTTTTTATATACCATAAATAAAATCATGACTACACATGTCATAAACTTCCTTATAAATATGATGACATAAAAGGTTCTATAAACAGGATAATACATGTATCAACTTTCTTGTTAGGGATAATATTGAATTTCTTGTGATCAAGATCATAAACAAGTTTCATTGTGGTTTTACAGTGTTTAAGTGTGATTACTTTTTATTGTTGATTTACATCATTAGCTCTGTATATATATAACCATACTAAACATTTCGTATGATCATAATTATACTAGTGCACTACAGCTTCTTACAATTTTAATGATTAATTTAACAATCTTAATGTTTTAACTATAAAACATTTTTATAATCATAACTTTTAAATGATTTTTTTTTAGTTATACAAAATATCCCCCTTCTGGCTATTACTGGCTAGAGGTTGAGTAGAGGACTGATCTGTGTCAGCTCTTGTATCGCTGTGTCCGTGAGAAGCTCCGACTGCGAGTGCGGTATCGGGGTCTAGATCGACTTCGCGAGCGACTGTATCTGTAGTAAGAATCGTAACTGCTCACAGAGCTTGGGGAGGGCGGTGCTGGCCGGTAGTAGGGCACAGGACGTTTTCTTGCACTGAAGTATAGAAAAACACAAAATATTCAGTAATTTATTTCATTGTATTTCATCTATGACTTTAAAATTTGAAAGTAAACATTTTCAGATCCTCATCTATAGACAATATCAGTGAAATTTAGAAGTGAATTTTTCAGTTTGTCGATTTGAAACAGATATGATGAATTGTTACAAAACCAGTATTACTCAAATGTAGACTAACATTTCCTTACTGCACAATTTCCACACATAGTGTTTGTTCATCAGGAAATAATTATATAAGTTTGAAATTTTATTCTTATAATTATCAAATTGTTTACTCATATACAGAGCAATGACAAAAGAAAAATTGTTTCAAATATTACAAGGTTCTGGAACTACATAGAAATGGTTCATTTGTTGATAAGAAACCAACAATGCCTTTAAATTCTGCCTGTATAAACTAGCTATAGGAATTCAGGTTAGGCCTGTTTACCCAATTCTGACCAATCAAATGTCAGGTTGAAGTTAGATCAAACACCATGCTATACATATATGTAAAGGAGAAAAATTAACGCCAGACACGATACCTTACATTTCTAGTTATTTTTGTAAGATTTGTCTCCCTTGAATAACATTTAATTCTTCTTTGTTCTAAAACTACTTTCAGTATTATACATTGTTGTTGAGTACTTTTTAATAGTGCCATCAATTAATTAAGTTCAAATTGCTAATCACAAAGGAATATTACAGAGTTTTCTTATAGTTAGAATTCTTTAAATAAGCTTACAGGGATACATGATGTGGTCGTATTAAAGACAGGATACTTCCTTAAGTATCGACACACATATCAGATTCCTTCATGTCACTTTACGCATTCCAATCACATTATCATTCTATTTTGCTTGATGACCTCATTTCTATCCTAAACCATTGCTAAATGTGCTAGTCCATATATATGGGATTGTATCTGTGTTTCTGATTCATATGATATATATGATATATACGATACATATGATATATGATATATGATATATGATATATATGATATATGATATATATGATATATATGATGATATGATACATATGATGATATGATACATATGATATATGATATATGATATATATATGATATATGATATATATGATGATATGATACATATGACATATATGATATATATGATATGTATGCTATATGATTTGATATATATGATATATGATATATGTGATATATGATATATGATATATGATATATGTGATATATGATATATGAGATATATGATATATATGATAGATGAGATATATGATATATATGATATATGATATATGATATATATGATATATATGATATATGATATATATCATATATGATATATATGATATATATAATATATGATATATGATATATATGATAAATGATATATATGATATATGATATATATGAACCAGGTTCAGCAGGACTCAAGTATGTTCAGCTGAACTAACTTGGTCTGTGGCATCTACATTGTAGCAGCTAGGCTAACTGATTTGGTCTATAGTGTCTAGCTGCTACGTTAACTCATTCACCCCTGAAATTTCATTATGAACTATTCCAACCTTTGAATTGGAAGAGTTCTAATGTGTCTTTAGGGGTGAATGAGTTAACTTAACATTTTATCCTACAATAAGCCTAGGGGGCGAACATATAATCTGTAACTGACAGTAGGGGATTGGCTTATTACAGGACAATGAAAAAGCTTTCGTTGACATTTCCTCCTAACAGCAATTTATATAGGTGGGCTTATTACCAGGCATGTGCTTATTGTTGGAGATATAAGGCAGTTCATGTAGATGTTCAGTAAATTCATGCTAAGCATTGCAGCTAATATTAGTAGTTTATTAAAGTATAACGTGTCTAGGGTGGGTTACAAACATAACTTAGCAAATGTATATGATATCATCAGTATTCTTCTTTTTCACAAAATATGTATTGCAGGGCTAGACATTATTTTGAATACCACTAGTCAATTGGGGTAGTAGTTACCAATTATTAGTGCATGCATGTGCAAATTCAACTAACCCAATATTATTCAACAAGATAAACAATATAAAACTGTGACGAGTCCATCGTGGGCTAGCGGTTTATAGAACCACTAGTCCAGCTGGAGATTTCACTAATGTCAGACTATTGGACTACCCTTATTGTCTAACCCTGTATTGTAGCTGAAGCAAAAAGAAATAATTTCACCAGAGTCAGCAATATAAAAAATACTACATAGTTAAGTCAAAGGTTACGGCTAAATTATGATTATAACAATGATGAAGCCAAATTTCTACTAAAATAATATTGTTTAGTACATCACATGATATGTACATTGTAGATGACATATATTGTGTGCAATGCTGTCAGTGGGGTATACATGTATATGTACATTACCTGCTATTAGGTAGGCAGCATGGCTTCTAGCACTATTTTAGTAATAACAGTAGTATTCTATATCACTAAATACCATTATACAAGAAGTGTAGTTATCAGTAAATTGTATTAATATGACATAAAGGCAAGTATATAAAAATCAAACAGAAGTTAGTAAAACAAGGTCAGTCAGATCCAACAGTCACACAAAGAAGGAGCATGCAGAGGTACCTGTATTAGCTAGAGGTGCGTGTGATGTAAGTGTTGACCTCTTACTAAATTTCCACAGACTTTTTCCACACATATAGGTAACTTTTGAGGATATATTCATCTGTTAGATTAATGCAACCAAATGTCTTAACCTTTTCACCCCTATATAACTTTTGTAGACTCGAACATGCATTGATCTGGACGAGTCCATTAAGGTCTACAGTGGTGAAAGGGTTAAATTCTATATGTTTTATTATCAATACCCGAAGAACTTACCAGTATGATTTTTTTTTTCACTGATTTTGTTTTGTTTTTGAAATACAGCTATGTGGATTTAAATATTTCTTGACTATACCATTTAGGTAGGTGTTAGAATGATGTCTACTGTAATGGTAGGTACATTGTGTATATATTGGGGAAGTCTATAATTGCCTGCCAGTCATATAACCATGTTAGTGTTATACCAACTTTGTTAGTATTAGGCTTTCTGCATCCAAACAGTAACATTCCTTTTCTCCATTCCATGTAAAACATATATATACCAGATTGTCTGATTTTATGAGGGTGGCCTCCCCTGAGTAGCATTGCGGACTGTCCTGCACAATACCGCCGTGGAGACAAGATTGTACAACCCTGTCGCTGTCACAAAGTTGTGTCCTAAATATAGCAACAGGAAAAATAGGAAAAAGATACACAACATCAAAACAAAATCAACAAAATCAACAGAAATAAAAGAAAAAACAAAACAAATCAAAATAAAAACGATATTGAACTGAAAACTATGTGATTTAAAAGAAGGGATGTACGCTTATTAACGTAGTTTTTATAGTACATATATATCTTGAATCTTCCATTGTTTTATTTACTGATTATACTGCTTCGAACTAACTTGTAAAAAACCCCATAGCCTTGATTTACACCTAGAAACCTGTATAGTGACAGTGATAACTAGTCCATGGCACATATGTTACTACCATGATCTACCATGATCTACTTCCTGGAGGTGTGGCCATCTCTAACTTAGTATATTTACATGTGATACAGCTCCACCACTGGGAGCCATGTTAAACTGTGGGGAGTACACAGCTGTAAAGATGACCAGTTCTAGTGAAGAGCCTTATGTACCTGGTAATGCGTCGTTTCTCGAGGTGGCTGGGGGAGCCCTTTCGGCGTCGTATGGAAGGGCTTCGAGACATTCGGTGCCGTGACCTACTCCGGGATGCACTTCTGCTATAATTACGACGACGACTGCGACTTCGGGAGCGAGATCGGGACTTACTGTAACTACGACTTCTCCTGTAACATCAAATGTATATTTAACTATACAATCATACCGTACAAATAACTACTTCACTTTAGAATAGCATCAAATGTATATTTAACTATACAATCATACCGTACATATAACTACTTCACTTTAGAATAGCATCAAATGTATATTTAACTATACAATCATAC